TTGGCATCTCGTGCCATGCGACTCCAACTACGCTCGTCATTGTCTATCACCAGCTCGTGCTCACTCTCCCGACGAGATCACCGATTAATTTTCTTGGGCCAGCGCCTCATTGTCACATTCCGGTCTCCCTCCCACCCTCTTCCTTCTTCTTCGAGTCTACTTAGCCTTCAACTCTTGATCCCTACCTTTTCAATCACTAAGGTAAGAAGGGTGCTCTCCTTATGCAATCTCCCAATCTGTCAAAATTATAAGACTCCCATGCTCCTGCAACTAATTTTCTTGTATTTGAGAGACCTGATAGCATACGAGGGATCCTCGAGCTGACTTATTAATTCTCACTGTGTCTCTCCCCACGCCAACTCTACTTCACGCAGGGACATGCAGGAGATGCTTACAGTCTAATTAATTTTTATTTTCGAAGCAATAATATGTGACCCAGAGGCCTTTTTGTCACATTTAAAAGTCAATATGTCATTCAAAGGCCCAAATTAAATTATGATCTAGACTTTCAAGGCCCAAAAAAAAATCAAAGAAACAAAGTCACAAGCCCAATAAAAAAATTGAATAAGGTCCAAAACCGAAGGGGAAAAAAAAAAAAAAGGGACGGGACGGGATGGAGTCCGGTCCTGTCCCTGTTCACCACCCATCCCGATGTCGTCCTGTCCTGTAAACACCCCTATAGTATCGTATGTTTAGCTAATTATAGCCTCCTAATATGACGTGATACTTTTGTCCTATTTTCATGAAAATAAGAGTATATATGAAAAAGAGAAATAATTATTGGAAAATAAATGTTCTGCCAATATATTTTTAAAAAACAAAGTAACTTTTCAAACATTATTGCTGAGATTATTATACTAGAATTTTGAAAAATATTTCAGCAAAAAATCAAAAATTATCAGACGTTAGTATTTGCTACCACTGAGATGATTGAATATTCGCCTTAGAACATTTTTGATGTATTCACTATTAAGAGTGATCGGTTTTAGTGACAAACAATCGAAAAATAATTTGATTATTTATTTATAAAGAATTATATATGTAAAGTATATACTAACTTAGGCTCAATTAAAAATAATTAAAAAATTATCTTATTTTTTTCCCAAAAAAAAATCATAGTAAATAGTTAGGTTCTAAGGACAAAAGGCTGTTTTCTTATATTAGTAGATCCAATTCTCCGATCAAATTTGAAGCCACGGAATTATCTCAAAAGTAAAAAATCACATTGATAAAATTTCATAACCATTATTAATAATGTAAATCACACATAACAATATGTGAATGAAAAATTAAACTTAATAAATATAAGCAAATGGATTTAAATTTTGTCTAAATTACCAAACGAAGCGTGTGCATCCCATCTTTCACAGGAAAGAAATGTTAGGCAAGAGCTAAAATGAATAAAAAATAAAAAATCTTTCAGAAATATTAGTTACATCCACACAATAATTTCCAAAAAGAGGAAACAAATAATAACAACTATGCATCCCATCTTTCACAGGAGAGAAATGCTCGGCAAGAGCTAAAATGAATAAAAAATAAAAAAATCTTTCAGAAATATTCGTTACATCCACACAATAATTTCCAAAAAGAGGAAACACATAACGACAACTATGAATAATTTTGTCAGAAGAAAACAAAAAATGTTATAATTAAGAGAGAGAGAAGACAATGAAAATTAGAAGGAAGAAGGGAGTGGCTTATGGTAGAGACAAGAAGGAAAAAACAAAAACAGAGTAGGTACACCAACCTTTGCAGTTGGGCTTAACGGCTCATGAAGGAGTAGAAAATGAGTGTAGGATATACCAATGAAGTTAGGGTCTAATGAAATAATTTAGTTTCTTATAATGTTTCCAATTAATGTTCGGCTTTTTACTATGAGAGACTCCTACATTAATGCCCAAAAATACTTGAAACGGTACTGTCTCTAATAGAAGAATATATGTGCCTAGTTAAAAAAATGAGTGCAGGAAAGGAAAACTTAATATAACCCTTTGGAATTTATAATTTTAAGCTAATCAACTCCCTTATCTTGTTATTTTAATTTTACTCCTATTAAATAAAAATGATTTCAAGATAATTCATAACATATACAATTTGAAATGTTCCAAGATTTGACCACACCTTACAGATTATCATTGTTATTTTGTTTTTATATTATTATCATCATTAATATTGTTAAGAATCTTCTCGGATATAAAGCTAACTTCATGATAACTAAAAAAATCGAAGTAATTCGCGATTTAATCTGACTTGTCTAATTATCGTTGTTGCTTTCTTCTTCTTATCATGCCTTTTATAGCCTTTATTAATCTTTCATTGCCTTGTATATGAGTGTGTGTGTGTGTGTATACATGAAAAATTAAGTTTTTTAATCTTCTAAATTTTAATCCAATTTCTACTTACTCTCTCAACTGTGACCAACTATAACTCAGTCTATAAACTTTAATTTCTGGGTTTCAAACTAAGCATTTTTATTGATTTTCTATTTTTAAACGAGAAAGGTAGGTACTAATAATTTAAGGATATAAATGAGATTGGAAGTTCTCAAAAGCACTTTAAAAAAATATTTTTACGTAAATAAAAAAATTTTCTCATATATTTATCTTAAACTTCATAAAATCACTTCTATAACTATAATTTGGTTTTTATCCAAACATTCCCTAAACTCACTACTTTCTATCTATGAGCGAGCTTTCTTGACATTAGATTACAATTAAGTTCATCGGCTTTGGCTTGGTACAAGCAAGCAATCTTTCATGTGAGGATGGACAAATATTTAGATTACTACAAGTTCATCGGCTTTGGCTCGGTACAAGAAATCTTTCATATGGGGGTGGACAAACATTAGAAAATAATTTCAACAAATTTTGATAAGTGAAAGGATCTTTGGCATGATTCACGACATCCACACAATACTTCTCAAAAAGTGTAGGAAACATTAAACGATTTTAGTTGGAAATTAAATGTTATGGAGCAATGGTGAACAAATTGGAAATCTAACGATTCTAAATACTACGTATCAGTTCTTAATATAAAAACGAGTTGACTCATTTAATTAGATTAAGAAAATTTGTTGATGGTCCATTTGGAATGACTTATAAACAAATTTTCAATAGCGATTTACAGAATACGAAGTAAGTATGTGAAAGGAGTTGTCTCAGCTTATATAAAACATACTTATAAGTGTTTATAAACGTGATTTCAAACAGACTTTAAGCTAGTTACTTATAATAAATAAGTATTATTTTTCTTAAAAGACCATTGGTAATCATGTGTATTAGCTAAAACTATCATATGATGAAACTTTTAATATATGTAACTACTATAATAACTACCTTAATAAAAATGAATAAATATGAAAAATAAAATGAATTGGGATCTTATATTTAGGACTAAGTTAGATATCAAATTAGTTCTTATATGAAGGATCAGAGGTATTATAATATTTGTCTCCAAAAACTCTTCCATTCAGGTCCTATATAAACGGCACATCTCAAAAGCAAATAAAAAGCATCACAAGCTAACTAGTGTAATATCCTAAATTTTATTTCAGGATTTATGTAAGAAAATAATAATAATAAAATAAAAATAAATAAAATAAATAATATTATATTATATTATTATAAAATAATAATATTTTATTTATTAAAAAAAAAGAAATAACTTTCCATCAAACTTTCAGTGGAGAGTGAGGAAAGAATTTATTACGAGGAGCTCCCCTAATAAATGTGTGGGGGATTATATATACCCCACAATTCAGTTTTCCATCAGGTGCAACAGAGAGAGAGAGAGAGTGCGGGAGAGAGAGTAAGGAGCATATCAAGAGTCTTAGTGAGGAAGAGGATAAGTTTTGAGGATAGTTTAGGTATATAAAATTACTTCTTTTTATGAAACTTTCTTTATAAATATTTTCTATATATTTTAACCTTTCTAATGATAGTATTACTATAGTTATTAGAGAAAATTTTAAACTTTAGGTGTGGAGTAAGTTTTGAGTTTTAATGAGTGTTAACCATATTGTAGATGTACTATAGTAAATCATTTTTACAAGTTTAGATTTGTCCATTTATTGGTTTAATATTTAAAAATTAATTTTTAATTTTAAAAAAATCTATTATTTATGATATATCTCTCTGGTCCTTAATATAAGACCTAATTGTTAACTTGATTTTAGTCCTAAATATAAAAATTATTTCTCATATTTATCAATTTTTTCTAAATTAGTTCTATGAACTTTCTTCAACCATAATCAAGTAGGAAAGAAGAGAAAGAGAAAATATTAAAGAAGATGATTATGGTGTTTTAGGAAAAATATATCATATTTCTTATAATTAACTAACCTGCCTACTTTTTTTAATCTAATTAAATTAGTTAAATATATCTTATATTAAAGACAGGAGAATTATCATATTTTTACTGATTAAAATTTAGTTAAATAATTTATCTGGTTATTTGACATATTATTGAGATTTTAATTAGTTCAAAATGTTAAAAATGTTGAGAATATATTATTAGAGAATTTTTTAAGTTTGAAACTTAACTTATAAATTAAAAATTTTATAAAATTAAATTAAATTAGAAATTTAACTAAAATATATGAGCTTAATTAATTAATTAGCTTATATTAGTATGCGGTCATATTAATTGTGTAGATTAATTATTGATTGAACACGAGATTGACCTTGTGGTCATCTTTTTTATTGTTTTGGTGAGAAGAAACTACTTTCTACTTGTTATATATGCTAATATATTATGTGTGAGTATTTTACTATTTTAGAATAATGATGTGCTATTTAGAATTTGAATGACTATGTTATAACTTTTGGGTTATGAAAATTTGTTCTGTGAGACTTTTGGAATTATGATTGAGAAGTTTAGAAAAATATATTATTAATATCTTATGGATTATATTAAAAAAAGATTGAGGCATTTCTTGTTATATTGTGATTAATTGATTATTATTTGGATTTTGAGTTGAATTATGTTCTATCACATGGTAAAGCTGCTATTGGTGCACATTGGTTAGCTTTCATTGTCCTCCATAGTGAGAGATATGCCTTTTTGGCTACTTATTCGTCTCTCATAGTGAGGAATATACCTATATGTCTGATTGATCCCTCATAGTAAGGGATAAATTTATGTGGCTTGTGTGTTAGCCCCCATAGTGAGGATTTAAATGATTGAAATTATCTTGCTATACGTGATTTATATTTTTATTGATATATCTATAATCCTTGAAAATTAATAATTGTTTCACTTGACGTCTGACAAGCACATGTTAATATGTATGATGAGTTGGAAAATTAGTTATTAAGACTTTTGTCTCAACCCGTGGTTTCTGCTATCTTCAGCTGATAGTTCAAGTGACGGGGGAAAGCTCCAGATGCTTAGTGTGTTGTTATAACTTCCATAGCCTCTCTTCTTTTGTCTTATGTACTGATTTATTACATATTGCCACATAAGGCTTATCTACTTTAATGCTGTAAACTAATACTTTTGATTACTATACTCTGATACGGGGGGCTGTTAAAAAGCCAGAGGCTTCTAAAACTTTGGATGTGACACTCTTTTGAAAGTGTTGACTTTTAATTAGTGGATTCCATAGCTTATTTTAAAATGATTTAACGGTTCATATATTTTAAAGCATGAGTTTTGTTTAGGCTAATGATTGAATAGTATTTCTGGATTTTAGAAGTCCAACACTTCAATTAATTATTGATATTATTCGTGATATAAGTTTATTTCTTTTAACTATAATAGTGATTTTATAATTTTAAGGTTTTTTCTATTATGATTAATCTTTTAAATAAATTATTTAATTTAATCTAAATAAGTTTTTAAAAGAACAACCGCCACAGCTAACATTCATATTTTTGAACAAAGAGTTTGAGAAAATCAACATGCATGGGAGTGTTGAACATGAGCCGGAATTGGGGGTGCCAGCGAGGGAGGCGTGGGATCTCTATGGTACACTTCGACTTGGAAAATTCCTCGAGAAAGAATTACCAAATTTGTTTCGGAAGGTGGAACTCGTTGAAGGTGATGGTGGACTTGGAACTATCCTCATTAAAACTCTACTCCCCGGTACATATATTTCATTATTTCTTCTTCTTCTTTTTGTTCTAATTATATTCAATTGTTTTAATGTTGAAGAAGAGAGCAAGAAAGTCAATAATAACACAATAATGAACGATTACAGACAAGAACTAGGTGAGGAAATTAATTGTATTAATAGATTTCCTAAATTTGATTTATTACTAATATATTCTTTAGAGAATTTATGCATGTATATTGGAGAAGTTTGTAACTTTCCAAGTTTGACTTGAAATTTATAACTATCATAAGGCTTCTAAACAAATTTCATTTAAACCTATACCACATAATTAGGAAAACAATTTTATCTTTTTTGCAAATCCTTCTAGAATAGTTACAAGTCAAACATATAAATTTATGACGGAAAAATTAATTTGAAGGTATTTATAGTTTTGTTCAATTTTGAATCAGGTCCCTAGAATTTTTTTTCTTTTTATTGACTCCTTTTAACTTTTTATAGCTATATTCCTCAGTCCTTACCGTTAGATTTGATTAACACCATTAAAAATTTCCACTAGCCAAACATGTTTGATGAAGATCTGCTCTTTCCTTCACCTTCATTTCCTTCACCATCATTCTTCCGATCCCCATCCAACCTCTCCATAAAAACCTTTCCTTTCTCGGTTGTAAAGTTAGGGACCCTCTTTGACTTTTTTTTCTGGCTAAAATATAACGATGGATGGAGTTTAGAAGACTTTAAGGGATGTCACTTTTACTTGCTTTTGTTTTTCAATACTGGTTTATTGCTTTTATTTTCTATCGAGTAAAAATCTTTTCATACTCTATCGTTTGCGCAAAAAAGATTCATGCAAACCTCCCCACTTATTAGCTATAGCCAAAGAACTAAATCAAAACTGTTTACAATGACGATCACTCACTCTCTCTCTGTTCGAGTGTGTGTGTATAATCTTAGTGAGGTCAAGAGAACTGTACCCTATCGAATTCGTGGCTTGCTAGTTAGAGCTATTCATTTGCTAGTTACACACTCATCACTCTTAAGTGAGAACTATTGGTGTTCCATTGAAGTTTTGAGGGCCTCTGTTTTTTGTGTTTGAAACAGAGCCGAACATAGTCTTTTACTTAACAAAAGTGCTAATCACTCTGAGTACTTAAAGGCGAGTTACAGTTATGCCCAAAGACTAGTCATGGCCGGTTCAACACTGTCTTCCACTTCTTCTACCCCATCTCTAATGACTTCTTTGCCTGCAAATTCATCGAAGAGCGCCTTCTCACCAATTCCCTCCATATTGTGACTACCTACAAAATGAACCCAACCACATGGCTCTCTTCCCCATACCCTCATATTCCTCAGATTTTTGACATCTTCAACAACGGCAATTTCCTCTATTGTTCTCTAGCTTTGCGAGCTCCTAAATCTCCTTGACCACATCATTGACCGTCCCTTGCTAGAGACTGGGGCCACTTCCACCATGAAGCAGATCCTCGAAGCAATTGTGCATTAGCATTTACAATCGGGAGTATGGTGTGGAAGGAGATGATGTTGAGCATTGAGAGAAGGGGAGGGAAAGAGCGTTCGGTCAGACTTAACGCTTAACGGGCTAATGAAAACGGTGTTACTCAGTATTTAACTGCAAGGACTGACATATATGACGGTGAAAAGTAAAAGGATGTAATAAAATGAAAAAAAAAGTTCAGGCACCTAATTCAAAATCAAGTTAAATTATAAGGACCTCTGAATTAATTATCCCATTTATGAATTACGTCGGGTGTTTTTACACCATTTTTTTTGGGTTGAAATTGTCAGTTGTAATTTTTACACAATCGTCAGTTTTCTTATTGAGCATGTTTTAATTACACAGAGCCCAGCCCAAGGCCTTGAGGTATGATTTGTGACTGGGCTAGGAATCCTAATTATTTTAGTTAAATCTAGTATATAAGTAATTGATTATAAAATATTAAATGAAAATCTCAAATTAATAAAAAGAAGGGGTAAAACTGCACTTTAGATAATTTAATTCTACGTAAGGTTTTATTTTGGTCATTAAATTTTTGTGAAGTGATTTTTCAGTTGTCTAACCTTAGCACCGTTAATTTTATTAATTACAAAAATAGATACTAAAATTATAAATTTTGACAAAACATTCTCAAATGTTACCATAATAAATTTAGTTTCTTAAAAGTAATAATGATTGCCACAAAAATTATCATTTGAGACTAATAATAAATTTAAAATTAAGAGATCAAATTAAAAATTTTTATGCAAAATTAGAGGATCAAAGGTATGCTTTCACCAAAAAAAAAATTGCACAAATATAGCATTCACCAAAAGAAAAGTTATTGTTGTGAAAATTTACCTAGCCGAACCTGACCCAATTTGATTAAAATATTAAATATAGGAATTTATAAGTCAATCAATTTATTGATGTTATTGTTGTTGTTAGTATTATACAACGACCAAACCCTAATTTCTCTTCTTCCCTATGTTTTCTTAAAATAGGTAAATTGGGGATAACTTTTACCAAAGAGAAGGTCACAAAGTTGGACAATGAAAATCGAATAAAAGAAAATGAGCTTATTGAAGGAGGATATTTGCAATTAGGGTTTACTTTGTTCAAAATTCAGTTTGAAGTAAAAGAGAAAGGAGAAGACTCAAGCATCCTCAAAACAACAATTCAGTATGAACTCAATGAAGAAGAAGAAGCAGCTTTAGCCAAAGCCCCACTTGTTTTCAATGCTATTAAGGAGGCTGCCAATGTTGCTCAACTTGCCAAAATTCATCTCAACAAAAAATGAAAAAAAAAATGAAAATCAAATAATTTATCTGTGTGAACTTCATTAGAATTATTCAAAATCTACCAACAATAGGTGATTTAAGCAATCTCGGTTTTAAAGTTCTCTTAAATTAAATAAGGGCTTTAAGTTTGAGTGATTCCAAAAAATTAAAAAGAAAAAAATTATCACTATAATGGCTTTACATTTATGTATTCCGCCTCAAAAATAAGGAACGGAAAGTTTGTGTTTATTTGAGGTTATTAAAGACTATTGTTTATGTATCTGTTTGAAATTATAGAAATATTCTTTTTATGCATGTGTTCTTGAGATATTTAAATTAATTAGTATTATTTTTTATATATTAGTTGACACCAAATCAATTTATCTCAGGTGCTAATAAGTTGTATTTCTTTTTAAAAAATAATCACGCGTTAATGTTAACCTTTTACCATTTTTATAAATTATAGATGTAAAACAATTAAACAATACAGCTCAATTAAAATATGATTATTTGGCCCAAAAAATATGAGGTGCGAATGAAGTACGCTCTTGTACTCGATCAAGTTGGGCCGGCCCAAAACCTGGACATAACAGGTGGGCTAAAATTGAACTGGTCTGCCATATTGGGTGGGCTATGGGTGAACCATCGGATTAACCCCATGCTTACGTGGATTTTGATTCATTGAGTTTTAAAAAAAAAAAATCCTTGGGAAAATTCACCACATTCACAAAATACTTCATAAGATAAGGAAACGACAAAAAAAAGGGGATTAAGGTACAAATCTATTCTGAAATTTTTTATTTAGGAGTATTGAGTATTCTGAAATTTTTATGGGTGTAAATTTACCCCCGAAGATTTAAAATTATAGTAATATTGTCCCTTCTTGTTTACAAATTTTCCCTTGTATTTTTTCTCATTTATTATTATTTTTCACTTATTCTCTCTTCTCATCTTTTTCATAAATAAGGGTGTTTTTAAAAAATATATTGCATTTTTCACTTATTTATTGCATTCTCTGCATTATTTGCTTTATATATATATATATATATATATATATATATAAACTAACTGCAATGGCTTTGGCCTGAAATTAAATAGGCACGTTGGGGCCCACCTTTTCTAAAGAGAAGTTCACAAGCAGACAATGAAAATCGAATCAAGGAAGTTGAGATAATTGAAGAATATTTGGGACTATGGTTACTTTGTTCAAGATTCGCTTGTACTTTAAAGAAGAAGAAGGTGAAGATTCAAACATGGTCAAATTTAAATCAACCAAACTACTTTGTTCCTTTATCTTGTGAGGTTCGAGTCCAAATCAATCTATCTTGCTATCTTTCCAAGTTATAATCTATCCATTATATTATATATGGGAAACTAGATAGGCGGCCTTTGTCCTATGCAATATGCAACGCACAACGCACAACGCACAACGCACAATGCAGCTGAAACTGCGACGCAGCCTAAAGTCCCGCTGTGTTCAATATGTAGCTTTTATACATCCACGAAATTTTGTGCCTGCAAGTGTTTTTAATTTGTGTATCATCAAGTAAAATTATCCAAAATTGTGCTTTCTGTGATTTGATTTGAATTCAGCTTGCCAAATGGGTTTAAATTAGCTTGTTTTAAGTGATTTTCTACTCATGTATGTGAGAGAATTTTTCTTATAAAACGTTAAAAAAACTTCTTAATCAATTCTAGGATTTTCAAAACAACCTAAAATAAATTTAAAAAAAAAAAACAGCTCATTCAGATTTTATTACATAAAACTTCTCTAACATGTTCACCTCCTGTAGCCGTCTAGCTACTTTCCAGTGCGATATATTTTCAGCCGGGTTAAGTAAAACGTAAGAAATGAAACATGAAACTTCTATCTAGATATTCATTAGAAATCAGATGACGGGGAAATACAATCCAACTTGCCACCTCTCTTGTCAACTCTAAACAGGATGGCAAGGGACAATACCAGAAACGAATTAAGAAAAAAAAAATCATCACATCCAATTTACTGCCAACAGGAAGAACCACATCCAAAAAAAGGGGTAACTAAAGAAGAAAAATCCTACAACCATATTACAAGCCTCGTGAACCTTTAAAAGCTATTCCGAGAAGTGAAAATCAGAAGGCAAACAAGTGCAAACAAATTAATATCCAATATACCTGCCTGATACAGGCGAAGCCGAAAGTGAGTATTTTTGTCTTACTATTTCTGATTGCTAGTACCCTTTTTCTTCAGCAGGCTTCCAAACTTGCCAAGCAATGGCTTCTTCTTCTTCTTCAGCTGCTGCTCCTTTGATGGTGAGCTTCCACCATTATCAATGGTCTCTGTTGAAGTGGGTCCATTTATCTGATCAAATCCCTCACCACCACCTTCTACCTTTGAGTCAACTTCTTCTTCAAAGGACTCAGGTTCTGGTTCTCTCTCTGGTGAGAACTCTTTCTTCTCTATCTTACAGCTCTCCCACATCTTAAACTCAACTTCAACTGAATCATCTTTTTCTTTGTTCTCATCTTCCTTTGATTTTCCATTTGCATGCTCATGTTTGGGGGATTCAGCCTTTTCAGGCTTGTCATTCATGAGAATACTTGATTCCTGGGAGTTTTGTCTTAGCCCCTCCCCATTGGCTGAAATATCTACCTTGGATATGTCTTCTCCAACATGTCCATTCTCCTCAGAGAATTCTACTACTTTAGGAAGCAAATCATACTCTTTCTCACTGTCACTAAGATCACCATTTTCCCCAATCTGGTTTCTGGCTGTAGCTTCATCAAGCAACTTAGATAGCTCCTCCACTTTCTTAATAGAAGCAGCTTCACTAGTTCGGAGTTCCTCATTTTCTTGCACAATACTCTGCAACTCATTCTCTTTATCCAATAAACTCTCCTTCAATTTCATGCTCTCAGCCTTTGCTTCCTTGAGAGCTTCCTGAAGGTGGATCACCTCAGCCTCAACCTCTCTCAGGTTTTCCTTCAGCTGAGCTTCTTCCTCCTTTCTGGCAGAAGCTTCTACCTGACTTTCCTTGAGTGATTGAACCAAGTTACACACTTCTCTTTCCAGAGAAGAGTTCTGCTCCTCAGTTTGCTTTAAGCAGTCGACCAAGTGAACTTCTCTCTGCTCCCACTCAACCTTGGACTCCTCAAAGTCATCTTTAGATTTTCCAATACTGCGTGTAAGAGCATCAATCTCGTGCCTTGCCTCATCAAGCATAGATTCATACTTTTCATTAGTAGCTTTTAAGACTGCCTTCATATTTTCAATCTCAGTCTCATCCTTTTCATGATCAGCTTGGCTGGCTAGCAGCTTTTCTCTGGCTTCTCTGGCTTCTTCAGACAAGTCATGTAACATGGACTCATATTTATCATTAGTAGCTTTCAAAACCAACTTCAAATTTTCAATCTGGGTTTCATAGTTTTCATGATCAGCTTGGCTACTTAACAGCTTTTCTTTGGCTCCTCTGGCTTCAGCAGACACTTCGTGTAAGGCAGATGCTAAGCTTTCCATTGCCTTCTTACTCTTCTCTTCTTCTTCTCTAGAATTCTCCAATTCATTGATAAGTTTGTTCTTCTCTTCTAATAGAGTCTGCACACTAGAAGCAGCAAGCTTTTCATTATTTAAGGCCTGGGCTTTCTCTTCCTTCACTGTTTCAAGTTCAGATTCCAGAGACTCAATCTTCCTGGACCTTTCAAGACTTTCTTCCTTAGCCATGAGAAGTTGACGTTCTGAATCCTCAACATCACCCTTTTGCCTTGCAACTGTCATTTCTAACAATCCCACCTTCTCTTTAAGGGCAGCAATCTCAGATTCTGCATCATGTAACAAATCATTGTTTCCTTCTAACTGTTTCATTACAGATTCCAGCGATTCTGATGCTGATCTCTCCAACTTATTTGCTTCTTCAAGCTTCACTTCTAACTGCTCGACCCTCTTTTTCCACTCTTCAAGCACGCTGTGGGCATAAGACTCTGCCATCTTTGCAGCTTCAAGCTCCACATTAAGTTGTTCAATATAAATCTCTTTCTTGGTTAACATTGCCTCATAGTCTTTGGCTTTTTCAAGCTCTTGTTTGAGACTTTCTATCTCTGTTTTTAGTTCCAATGCAATATTATTTTCACCAGCCTCTGTTTCAAGCTTTGAGTCTAGTAAAGACTTCACACGTGCTAATTCAGCGGAAAGAATTTCAGCTTTCTCTGCTTGAATCTCAGCAATTTTAGTTGCATCATCAGCATGACTCAACGCCTGGTTCTTCGCATCAGTAATCATGGCAAGTTCTTGCTTAATTCGCTGAAGCTCTTGTGTGGTAGAGAGAAGAGCATTAGCATCTAAAGCATGCTGATGCTTCACACTTTCAAGCTCTTTCTGCCATTCTTCTTCTTTCTTATTTACAGCTTCAATTCCTGCCTGTTCCAACTCGACAGCTCGAAATTTCTCAATTTCAGAGTCTTCCTCTGCCCGCTTCTGAGCCATCAATGCCTCCTTGAGTTTTTCATGTGCTTCCTCAGCTGCTCTCTGTGCTTCTTTCAACTCATTAGTTGCTTTTTCTTTTTCCTTCTCAACTTGAATCAGCTGTTCCTTTGCTTTCTTTAGATCATCTTGAGCTATAGTCAGCTGGGTCTGTAATTCTGAACCCTTAGCAACTCTTGGAAGTGGCTTCTGAAAAACCAAGCAATTGATACAATAAATGCATGTTAGAACACAAATAATAAAGTGCATGTCCTCTGAAAACTTGTACAATACATATCGCAAGAATGAGAGAGAAAAAGGAATCTTGGTTGGAAATATTGGATTACAGAATAAGAAGCTTGTTGAATTTTAGATTCCTAAAACGTTTCCTTTCCGGAAAAAATTGCATCATCTGAAGTTTGAAATCCAACAGAAGAAAAATTCGAATTGGAAGCTTTTGCACAATTCGCTTTTGATCTCGATAAAGCTACTCAAAATCAATTGGCAAGAGGTCAACGGTTGCGCGAGTTGCTCAAACAAGATGTTTCTTGGTTAGACTAGTATGTATGTCACAAGAAAGTTAAAAATTTTCTTCAAATATAGAAAAGAAAAACAACAGAAAAACCAGCTCAAGTGTAGCTATTTGATATAATGAAGCCAAGAAGGGGGGGGGGGGAATCAAGTCTCCAACAGAGAGAGTGAGACAGGGACGGAGAGAAAGAGCACCCCGTGCATTTACTATAACTTACCTCAGGTGGGGTGCCGAGTTTTTGTGATTTTCGCTCAACAGTGACCTTTGAATTCACAGATCGTGGTGATCGTTCAACAGAAGGGCGTGAATTTTGTAAAGGTGATGCGGACTCATGTTCTGC